ACATTAAATGGGCAGGAATATCGAAACTGTGTTATCTTTAAAGCAGGTTGAAACTAAGATAGTATTGTATGTCATTCTTTCTCCACTTTAAATATAAAGATAAAACAATTTATTATCAATTGAAATATTTACACATAGGAGAAGTACCTTGTGTAGAGCTATTGTCAAGTCTTTGATCATTCTTGTTTTATCTGAAGTCTCTCATACAAAAATTAGATTATAAAGGTGAGAATTTGAAGCAGGAGCAATAAATTGTAAATCGAGTCTTTCTATTGGACGATTTCAAATTTGCAACTCAGGATATTGGACCAATCAGATGTTAATGTTTTTTTTTCTTTGTTTTTTTTCCTGACAAAAATAAAGTTCCTAATCAGTTTTACCTACAAAGGCACCAAAAACTGTAAAAATGTTATGATTTTTGTACATCCAGGAACTTAAAAGTTGATCTGTGATATCTAACTAAAAAAGTTTAAATTTCTTTTGGAGCTCTTGTTCTGTCTATTTCTTTTGGAGCACTTGTTCTATCTATTTCTTACAGAGATCTTGTTTAATTTCTTTCTTTTAGAGCTCTTATATATTTATTTCTTTTAGAGCTCTTAATATATTTATATCTCTTAGAGCTCTTCTTCCATTTCTTTCTTTTAGAGCTCTTGTTCAATTTATTTCTTTTGAGCTCTTGTTCAATTTATTTCTTTTGGAGCTCTTGTTCTATTTATTTCTTTTTAGTGCTTGTGTTCTATTTACTTCTTTTGGAGATTTTGTTCTGTTTTTTTTTTCTTTTAGAGCTCTTGTTCTATTTATTTCTTTTAGAGGTTTTTGTTCTATTTATTTATTTTGGAGCACTTGTTCTGTTTATTTCTTTTGGAGCTTTTGTTCTATCTATTTCTTTTAGAGCTCTTGTTCTGTTTATTTCTTTTGGAGCTTTTGTTCTATCTATTTCTTTTAGAGCTCTTGTTCTGTTTATTTCTTTGGAGCTCTTGTTCTATCTATTTCTTTTAGAGCTCTTAATCTATTTATATCTCTTAGAGCTCTTGTTCTATTTCTTTCTTTTAGAGTTCTTGTTCAATTTATTTCTTTTTGAGCTCTTGTTCGATTTCTTTCTTTTTGAGCTCTTGTTCTAATTATTTCTTTTAGAGCTTGTGTACTATTTATTTCCTTTGGAGCTCTTGTTTTGAAGCTCTTGTTCTATTTACATGTATTTCTCTTAGAGCTCTTGTTTTATCTATTTCTTTTAGAGGTTTTTGTTTTTATTTATCTATTTTGGAGCTCTTGTTTTATCTATTTCTTAAAGAGCTCTTATTCTATTTATTTCTTTTAGAGCTTTTGTTCTATTTATTTCTTTCCAATCTGAAGCATCCATGTCAAATATTTTGCATAGCATGCCTTGCCTTGATAAAATATTCAGACAAACCTTAGAATGCCTGTTTGAGGTATACCAAATGATTCTTTTAAAGTTACCCTTCTTGCCAAATATTCTGCATAATAAGCCTTTCCTTAAATGTTTAAAAAGTACTTTTATGAAAATAAATCGCAACAATACTTAATATTGTACAATGAACGTCCGATCCAAGATACGTTACTATTTGATGTTGTTTTCATGGTTGATTGCCGAAGTGCATAATACTTAAAGGTTCAAGTGTTATCTTTTCTCTACGCTGTTTTTTACGAGTTTTAAATTATGCATAGTGCACAGCGGGACATGTAAGAAAAATTGAACGCCATAAAATCATTCCTACGTAACCAACTAAAATATTTTCATAAGAGGTACACAGTTTTTCGTCCTTTTATGTGAAATTTACCCGCTAAATTTTCGTCATATTTAACCTGTCTTAATAATATCACAAAAGTAGTTAAGAACAGATATATCAAACAGTTCGGGTTGAAATTTTATATGATTTTTTTTTTTGGTCGCAAGAATTTTGTGTGGGATGAGAATTTTTGATGGATGTGTTATTGAAAAATATGTAACGTATTGTTACAGAAAATATGTTAATGTGAAAGTAGAAAAGAAATAACCATTTATGAATATCGTTGAAAAAGATAGTGTAATGTGTATATGTAAAATAGAAATACATGATGATATGTATCTGAAAATTTGTTGCGATAATTTGAAAATTTGAGCATACTTGTGAATGGATGCGAAAAATATATGGCGTGAACATTGAAATGAAATAAATGGTTTTTTCATGGATAAGTGAAAATTTGTGTTCACTCAAAAAAAAAAGTACAACATGATTTAAAACTTCGAATTTTGCTAAAATTTTATTTATAACAGTTAAAAAATTGCTTATAGATGATAGCAGTTTGTTTACCGAACAAAGAGAAGTGTTTTGAATTGAGCACGGATGAATTATAGAGGATTATTATGTTTATTTTCAAAAAAAGGAGAAAACTAAATAACTCAATGGTACGTTCGTTTTACATGTTTTTATATAAATATGTCCTTATTCTGGATTTATAGAATAGAGGTAATCGCTCGTTAAATTTTCACAAAAGGTTTTCAAATGTTTTGTTATTTATGTACTGCCTGTTTGGTCCAAAAACTATTGTAAACTTACTCGGAAAATTTAGGACATTGCGATAGTTTTGTACAAATCTATGGATACCCTTGTTGTACTTGAAATGTTACAGAATAAGATGTTTTTTAAGGGTATTGTTACAATGTTGAAAGGCATCTGGAGTAGTTCGGTCAACTGATGTAGAGAACCGATGTTACGTAGTGCGGCACTAATGATCGAGACTGATCCAGTGTCCAGTGTTCGTCTCTACACCAAATTTTTACCTTAATAACCTTTCTACCCTGCTGAATTTCTGAAATGGACTTGCCCTCTTTTGAATTTAGAAATATCCATTGTGAATTTTTGGGGATTTTTGTATGAAATGACTAAACTAAATAATGTACAGTCTAGCTGGTCTCTATGATACAGCATACTAAGGATCTGGCTCAAAACTGTTGGCATGCAGGCTTAGTTATTAATAACATTATAATGTTGCTTTGAATTAATCTTTACAACACGGGTTTCATAAATGGTTTTGTCCATCTTTCAATTTAGACAAAATCATTTATCATTTTTTTGGAAAAAATTTCAAAGCATATTATTAAAAAGAAAAATAGCAAACAGTGCAGACACTGTGTTTTGACTATGTGTCAGCTCATCCTGGTCTGCAATGGTCACAAACATCAAATTATCTACCACCAGCAGGCTAAAGGAAATATATTTTAAAGGTCCTTAAACACATGGTAAAATATAACATTTTTTTCAACTTTATATGGTTCGCTTGGTTCTCAACTTACACTGTTTGCTTGATATGAAGTATTCCTGCTAAGTTGAAAACCTGTAAAGCATGCAGACATTCAAGGGTGCTGCATTCTATGAACATTGCCTTGCCTTGTTGACCTATGTTCTCAAGTTTGAAATCAGTACAGTTCAAGAAAAACATTGAAACCTGAAGTCAATGTGACAGTGGAGTTAGATGCTAACAAATCTGAAATTTCAGCTTTCTTGAAAAGGCAAACACTGACAACTATTGGTATAGGGAGACACTAAAGTTGTGTTCACTCCTTACTCATTTCATGATAATGGTGATAGTGGCTGCACACCTTCAGATGAGCCAAAATATTGCAAGAAAATCAAACTTGTGAAAAATGTACTAAGATTTTAAGAGAAGTAAAAAGATTCAAGTGATAATTTATGTTATGTGTGATTAATGACTGATCTAGCAGACTTTATCACTGATATTTGAATGGTACTGCGTGACTAACACAGTACTGTACTGTGGTACTAATGCTATTTTTTGCATATTTTGGCAGGGATAAAAATGTAAGGGCTGTTTGCAATGTGCAAAATCCATTTTTTGTCAGCTCCAAAACATTTTACTTTTAAATACATATTCATAATATTCATGAAAATTAGCATGAATGAGAAGGCATGCTGCTTTAAACATATTGTTGATTTCAAAGGTGACTGTTAAATTATTTATGTTTGTTCAGGTAATAGGTCTATGTCTGGATGTCAATATTATTTTAGTGCCTCTTGAGTGATTGGCAAAGTGTAGAAGTTACATGAACCTGTCTTGTTTGCACAATCTCTTGAATTAATAATATTAATGTTAATTGATTAAATATCTAAATATGCCAGCATGAGTTATGTGTCCTGTTTTTATTTTAATGTAGCTGGATCAGTATTAAAATCGAATTTGACCTATAAATAATGATCCAATGGAATTTGATAAAATGTTGGCGTGAAGTTCAGTTATATCAGTGCTTTATGTTTCGAAGAGATGTTCATTAATTTTGTTGGGTGTAGTAATTTGTTCAGAATACAAACTGTTTGCTTACTGTAAGCTATGATCCATCTTTATGAAAAGAAAAATATTTTTTCACGAGGCAGTCCAAGGCAATATAATTCAGTCTCCCTGAAAATATGACTGTCAGACTTTCAGAAACTTCCTTTCATGAAAGACTGTCAAATTTTCAGAAACTTCCTTTCATGAAAGACTGTCAAATTTTCAGAAACTTCCTTTAATGATAGACTTCAGACTTTCAGAAACTGCCTTTCATGAAAGACTGTCAGATTTTCAGAAACTTCCTTTCATGAAAGACTGTCAGATTTTCAGAGACTTCCTTTCATGCTAGACTGTCAGATTTTCAGAAACTTCCTTTAATGATAGACTTCAGATTTTCAGAAACTCCCTGTCATGAAAGACTGTCAGATGCTCAGAAACCTTTACATAAAATACCTTCCTCTCGGAACTTTCTTTTTCATGAAGACCCTCCTCCTCTTGGAACTTTCTTTCTTATGGGAGCTAGACCTTCCTCCTCTCAGAACTTTATTTCATGGAAGACATGTCCCTCTAAGCTTAATCCTTTCATAAAAGACAATGCACTCTTTCATGAAAGACATTCAGACATTCAGAGTTTCGTTTTATGAAAGAGTTTCTTTCTAGTTTAAGATCAATTATACCATAATTAATATTTTTCATTTGATGTATCATTTCAGATTTGCCACCATCCAGGCTGTACAAAGAATAATGAGAACCGACCCATGCTGCTGTGTAAAGAATGTGACAGTAATATACACCAGAGACCGGAATACACCGGACATCTCGTACTAGATCTACCAAAGAGAAAATCACGTAAGATATATTATAATCAAACATCACGTAAGATATATTATAATCAAACAAGAATTCATGGAATTGTTTATTTTAGACTAATTTTACACTTTTCATGAATTAAATTATTTAAATAAAAGACTATTAGTAATTGTTTATTGTATTCAATTAATTTTCTCAGAAACGAAACAAAATACAACCGAAAAAAAACACACAAAAAAACAGTCCCCTACTCAATTAGAAAGAAATCCTTCTTTAAATGAAAAAAGCTTTCTTATACATGACAGTATGACAATATCATCATCATTCGAAATTTAATTTTAATTTGAAAAATTGAGGTAGCTAGATGTATAAAAACATTCTACTGTATTCTTATATTAGTTTGACAATCCGTAACAGTCATACTTGCAATATTCACTTGTTATTTCACTTATATAGAGCATGAACGTACAGCGAGGTTCGCCCACGCTAATTCTACGCCGGCTTTTCCCAACAATATGTCGATGTCAAGTATGGATATCGAGGAGATTGAGAATGACGAGGGTATAGAAGACGGTGACGGCCCTATCACCATGGAAACAGAACAAAAACAAAGGTAGCAAATAAAGCGCTTGGCGAATGGCTCTTTTTCGCTTTTGATAGTTCACTTAGGTACTTTGTCATTGTGTTGTGATTTGTGTGGCACATATGAATAAAGTATGATTTTTCATAATTATGTTTTATATAAACCTCTGAGAAGAGATGTTGTTGGCATGGCCGACCGAGTGGTTAACTCGTCAGACTTGTAATCCTTGAGCAAGAAACTTTACAATCATTGCACAGTACTGGTTGGTTCAAGGAACAGAATTGAAAGTGTGTCTTTAAGCTTATAGCTTCCGAGACAATCATACTAAAATAAATTCTGTATAAACATAAGGTCTTTAAACCTGCCTATGAAGTTTGTAAAAAGGTGATTGTTTTATGAAGGTGGGCTGATACTCAGAAAGGCATCTTTGGTAATTTACCTCTGTCAGTAAAAGATTGAAAGTTGCGATGCAGAATTACATGTTTTAGTGATATTAAAATCTAAACATTAAAAGATGAATAATTATGAACACTGCCTACCCATTGGGCCACACTGTAACCTCATTTCAACTCTTGAAGTGTTTTGGCTGGCAAAAGAAAAACATTTTTTAGCAAAATTATTAAAATAATTTTCTGCTTGTTGACAATCTGATATCAAAAATTGTGTGTTCTAAGCCGAAATTAAGTGTCCATCGACCCAATTGGACACTGAGAGTACAGACACCGAATACAGACATACATATATGATATATTGAGAAAATAATATTAGCTGGTAAAGCTATTGTTTTGATTAATGAATGAAAAGTAGGTGAAAAATACAGCATTTAACATAACATAGATAGATAGAAAAGTGCTAATTGCTCGGACTCAGGTAGGCGTTTGTATACTAACAGGGGTTTAGTAATGCAAGTTCAATCATGGTCCTAAAAAAGCTTGTTTTCTGACATGTATGGTTTGACAGGTGTACAAGAAAAAAAATGATATTTTGGATATTTTTATTCCTAAAATTTGTCCGTGGACTATAAAAAATAATGTATAGAAGCGAGAGGTACCATAGACATTTGTGTAAGAAGTAAGAGTTTTGATGTTTTAAAAAAGTGTCTCTAATTTATGACTAGTTTATCTAACCCTTAAAGTGTATATTGTCACCTTAAGGCAGTAACAAGTTAACTCCGTATATAAATAGTAAGTAAGTAAGTAACGACTTTATTTAACGAGGCTTACACATTCGGTTTCCCGATCTTCCATGTGGGTTTCGGCAAAATTCAATAAGAGTTAACCTGTTACTGCACTAAGATAACGAATTATAGTTTGTATATATCCTGCAAGAATTGTTGTTTGAATTTCAAAAAAAAGAATACTTCTACAGCAATGCTTGTATGAAAGAATAATTGTAGTATTTTGTCTAAGAAATGAATGGCACATACACAAAATCATCGCTAAATGGCTGAAACATTTCTTAAAACAGCAGCATGATATTTTGTTCCCATTAACATACAAAATCTGTGTGTGTTGAATAACATTAACATTTAATGTTACATTTTTTTGGAAAATCAACAATAAGATTATTGAGACAATATTATTTTACTTTTGATTTTTATACAAACATTTCATAAGATATATCTTTATACCCTTTAAAGGGTTTGCACTGAGGTTTTTATGACATGACGGCACTTGACATGATTTTCCGGGATCAAATTGTTCCATTTGCAGACGGGTATAGACAATAACTTGTATGCTAAATTTCAGATCATATGCTAACTTGGTTTGTTGAGAAAAATAACACTATTAATTGTGAAAAATGACCCAATTCAAATTAGGCTAATAACAGAAAAATGCGAATAAATTTTTGGGTTTATTTCTAAATAAACTTTTGCAAATCTGTCTGTTTTACCTACACCAGCAAGCCGATCATTGCAAGAAATTCAAATTTGGATCTCGGTGGAGTTCCTTTAAGGTATTCAAACTGAAAGTGATTAGTCTAAATGTGCCACCTGTATAAAGAGGCAGGTCAGACAACACATTTGGGTAGCAAAAATGAGCGATGTCATGACAAAACCACCATAGTGGGTTTGCGACCAGCATGGATCCAGACCAGCCTGGGCATCCGCGCAGTCTGATCAGGATCCATGCTGTTTACTATCAGTTTCTCTACTTGTAATAGGGTTTGTTACCAAACAGCATGGATCCTGATCAGACTGCGCACTATGTTGGTTTTGTCATGGCGCGGCTCAAATTATGATAAAAGGCACATTAGGCCTGGGAAACTAATGAATTTTTACTTCTTTAGAAATAGCAAAAAATTAATTTTATAACATTATATTGTACATAATTGTTTTAGATCATGTTAGATGCTTGTAACCTGAAGAATCTAGCAATAAATGTAAAATACTTTGCCATAAAAGTAGCAGAATGTAAACAAAGTAGTATTTCAACTTCCATACAAAATACTATATCACTATTACTGTACTAATTACCAAAGAGCAACAGAGGCAAAAGATGCTTCAGGTAATTGGCCAATGAGTAACTTTCTGTAAACAATCATTTTTTTTAAAAAACATCAGCAATAAAAAGCTTTTTAAACATAAAAGTAAAATATTTCTGAGGCAAACGTGAATGGCCTTTAAATGAAGTTAGTGATAAACTAAAATATTTTATAGGTTATAGCAAGAGTTTTTAATTATTAAATGTTTTGGGAATTATCCAGATTTTCATACAAAGCAACAAACTGATTGAAAAAATAAAATTACGGTTGGATCAGTTACAAACTGTTATTACCTAAGTGCAGCAACGCGATAACTCCTATCAGTTTTTAATATGAGTTAACCAGTTACTGCACTGAGGTGACTATATATATTCATTTTTGTGATGGTAAATTTATAAAATAAAAAATATATGTTTTGATATAGAGGTGTCAGTATACTTTTTGAAAATTTGAATTTTACTCAATGAAATGCCCCACTGTTGGTGGAAGACGCGTTTCAATAAATGTTTATTCATGAGGAAAATCATATGCAAAGAATGATAATATTTTGGCAAAAATCTGAATAAAACGTTGATTCTACACTACCCACATCTCACGCTGGGAGTTGACATTTTTGTGGAAATTTGCATATCAAGGTCATGTGTTATAACACAGCTTTTATCACACCTATATTTTTGTCAGGTTAGATTTTACCCAATATTTCTCAAAGACGTTCATTTGTTTCTCAAAAAAAAAATATTAAATAAATAGTAAAAAAAATTAATTAGATAAAAGCAGTAGAAAACCAACAAAAATTACATTAAAAACAACATACAGGTACATAAATCAATCATCTTTGAAGAGAAAAATAACTGAACTTTTTGGTCTGTTTACTAGTATGTAATGACACCTATTCAGAAGGTCAAGTGTATTTCTCAGGTGCTCTCAAATTGGACCAAATTGAACTATCTGTAAAGGCTGATTATTTAATACAAAAACTACTTCCATTTGTATTTGAAATTGTTTGATAATTAGAAAGTTGTTCCCCATTAAGTTATAGATATTATGTGACAGTCTATGACACAGACTGTCTTCCTTAATTATTTTTTTCTTAATTTAATCAAATTGTCTCCCTTTGCTTTTTTCAAATTGATTTTTAAGAAATCGTCTCCCTTTGTTTTTCAAATTGATTTTAGAAATTGTCTCCCTTTGTTTTTCAAACTGAATTTGGACAAATTGTCTCCCTTTGATTTTGAAATTAAAGTGACAAATGACCTTCCTTTTAAAGCATTCTCTGTATATGTTTTTAATGAAATTATCTCCAAAATTGTCTCAATTTTGTATTTAAAGTAATTGTTTTAAAGATTGTCTACCTTTAATTTTTTGTAATTTCTGTATTTCAATTCCTCCATTGTTATAACATTAACATTATTTCTAAAACATGAGAAATACGATATCCTTGATACTTAATTGGTTTTCTTTGTTTTAAACATTTCTTCCTACAGGGAAGAACAAATATATAAACCAAGACTGTTTATGTGCAGTTTATTATAAAGTTTAATTTTGTGCATACATGCAATTTAGAAATTGTTTTAAAATAAATTGTGGAACATTTAACATAAAATGCAGCAAAATCTCTTTGATCTGTTGAAATTTGCTTGCTGAGGAAAAATTGATTGGGAATTATTTGTAATACAATAGTGTTGTACAGGGAAATTGTTCCATAAGGAAGCTTCAATTGAAATGGCTTTTGGAAAATTCAGGTTTGAAATTTTGTCACATTGTAAATTGCTGCTGCATTATGAATAAAAATACACACATTTAGGTTAGCTTAGTTCTGAGGTGTAACTTCAGATGTGGCCTTGTAATTAGTTTTACTGTAACAACATTTTATTACCCTTCCCTATAATGTTACTGCATCATTTCATTTGATTACACTTCTAGCATAATTTCAGCAAGATTTGATTACACTTTTAGCATAATTTCAGCATTAGTTGATTATACTTTTCGCATAATTACAGCATGATTTGATTACACTTTTAGCAATATTAATTACAGCAAGATTTGATTATACTTTACCATAATTTCAGTGTGATTTAATTACACTTTTAGCATAATTAATTACACTTTTCTTTATTTAATTTCAGCAAAGAAGTTCCAGAAATGGGTGAGGTAGAGAAGAAACTGAAAAGAAAGAAAGTTGTCAAAGCTAAACGGAGACACACAACTGTAAGTGATTAACAATAACTTTAAATACCAATATTTCAAAATAAAGGAAATTATATAATGTCTAATGATAGGTAAGCCAATTAAAAGCAACAAATAAGCAACAAATTTAGGATGACCTTTTTTATTGGGAGACCAGGTGGGTGGGGGAAGATATGGGAAACATCATTTATTACCCAACATAACCCAACCATAAGTGATGGAATATTTAATGAAAAATGTTTCATGTCCATTGGGCTTAACCTGGTTATCCAAATATTGCTGACTAAACAATTTTAGTGATCCATCATAAGGTCACTGACTGGCAGTCGCTTACGCTTGACTTCTATGGGTTATGGCCTAGTTTACAGACAATTGATGGTTCTTCATTGAGGTACATTTGTCCAGGTACATTTGTGTGCATAAATGATCCACAAATTGTGGTGTGTACTTGAACAATCCACAATGCACTGTGCCAAAATGAAAATGCATAAACAAATAAGAAAAGGAGTATAATGTGACACTACACCCCCTCCACCCTGATTTCCTTGCCCATTCACTGTTGCAGTGATGCCCTAATCAACCTCTTTCTCCCTCCCTTCCTGTCACCCGCCACACCAACAAACAAAACAATTGAACATTTGTTAAAATGAATGAAAATAGTGACTTTAATGCACTTGACAGTTGACATCACTGTATGTCCGTATAAAGCGAAGGTCAGAATCTCTCAATGTAAATATTAATTTATGTGTAATACCCACTTTAATAGAGTGATAAAATATGAGTTAATCAAGATATGTATGTAGATAATTGAAAAAAAATGCCTTAAAGGTTATTTTTTTATGAAATATTAATAAAAGGCAGTTGAGTTGAAAGTGTTAATATCCTTGAACTGGGGAAACCACTGTGAAGTTTTTATCACACTTCCTGCATGGATGAATGCACTTATTATCAAAATATAGGATTCTTATCAGATTGGAATGAACTATAAATGTAATAGGGTAACTAAATTCTTTTGCCTGTTTATAAACTGTCAAAACCTGTCATAAATGTTGAATGGCCAGTTTTGCTTTTTGTGTGTGTTCAGGTTTGATTACCTTGGCTACTGGAGTAATTACCATATGGGCGAGTTTTGCTCAGACTCCTTGTTCTTAGATTTTGTCATTAACACAGTGTGTAACCTGTATCACCAGGATGCGATTGTAACACCAAGAAAGTGGTGACACAAATATTAGCCACAATAAGAAATTAGAAATGTGTATTAGTAAATTTACCTCTTCTTGGTAAAACAATTGCACCTTTGTGATATTTTTGATAATTAAACAAGATAACTTTACTGTTACTACTGCCTCTAAAGCCAAAACCTATTTATAGCCTCATTCCTAGGTTCTTAAACACAAATTGAAGACCAGTCTGCCACCAGAGCTTAACTATTGGCTATTTTTCAAATTTATTATAAGGAGCAACCAATCAGCTTTCAGTGTTGTAGACTGGTCCCCAGTTTCAAGTATCAATCCGTGCGTAAAAGTTCTTGAAATCACTATGAGTGTATCCTGCAGTTTTTCCCCCTGAATTAAATTGTGTGCTATTTTTGTGGGTATGTTTGTTAAGAAAACTTGTATATTTCAAGCTTTTTATGTATATTAACATTTCTATTGCCATTAATTGCTATGCTGATAAAAATGTAAAGATATTGTAAAAGTGATGATGGGAATGAAATTCTTCTTGGCAATCAAAAAATTCTTTTTGGTCAAATTGAGATCTTAAAATTTCGATAAATTTATTGTTCACATAGTAAGAAGATTATATTTTTTTGAATTTGCTCTGTATATAATGTTCAAACTTTTAAATTGAATGGAAAGTCACGAAAAATTGGAAACTATTGTTGAAAAAGTGTAAAACTTTATTTCGATTGATAATTGCGTGCATTCCATCTTAAATACAAAAATAATTGTCACTTTTGCAATATAATGCGATTGTAAAAATGATTGCTTTAATGCGTTGATTGGTGATATGCTAATACAGGGGGTTCGTAGTCACAGTGCGAGTGACATTTTCAACGGAAATGACGTACAATCTGATGACGAGGAAATTAAAGGTCAACGATTTAGTTACCATGGTAGCATTGACGAAAACGCTCTTGGCGTGGAGGAGTATAAACGGCGACCATCAATATCTTCGCCACCACAAGCTCTTCAACGAAAGGTGCTTGATCAGTGTCTTGTAGAGTCTTGCTTTAAATTTAGAATCTCACTAAATGTTGTTTTGTTTTTTACTTGTAGACAGTTTGGTGTGAGTTTAGATGCTTGTGTTTAACAATGTAAAACCGGGATGCAGTGATTTTATTATTTTAGTTGCTAATACTTATATTTTGTGAATGCGTATTTCTTATAAAAGCTACTTGATCACTATTTTGAGATGATTTTATTTTTTGTCACACGTTTTACAAAATGATTTTTTATCTCATTTTTTGATATTTTTTTAGTTTTTTTTCTATTTTTCACGATAAAGGTTTCTCTTGCTAAAACTTCCCAGGTACAAAATGCATGGCTTAATATTTTTAAAGAAAACAGAATAATCGCTGCAGTTTAGAATAGTTAGTACTGATTTATAGGCCAACAGTGCAGACCATGACTGGCCAGCACATCACCATGATCAGACTGCAGTTTATACATAGTTATTTCCTGCAGGCAGGATGCGAGCTAGTTCATGAACAAAGGAATTATGATGAAAAAAAAATCACTCAAGTTGTGGTCAAGAAGCTCTGATAGAAATGAAAATTAATATGATGTTTTAGTGGGACACATAAATTAATTATTTAGTTATATATATTCTAGAAACTCATTTTGGTTTTATGTATCATAGATTTTGCATGAAAGCTGCAGGGACTTGAGCTTTTACTTAGACAGTAGAAATTATCATTTTCATTGTTGTCAGTGTTTTTTATGCTTGACATCTAAATGCTGTTGTTTTGTTGTTTTTTGTTGTTGTTTTCTTTTCAATTCTGGGTATGTTTTATTGCCTTGGTCTTATCTTTTCAAGGGAGCCTACTCAAAATGATGATAATATTTAGAAATAATTACCTCCCTTATTTTTTTAAGTCTTCGATCAAACCCTGCCATAAGGATTCTGGATTCCTGCCTGTAAGGAATATTTAAAGCTAAGAAAATTCAATGGTTCTACTCAGGTGCCTTCAAATTTGTACCTGAAATAATACTCACAGGAGCACAATAGGTCTAATCCTCAGCCAGTAAAGCTGGAAAGTCACCTCCATGTCATTTTGACCAACCAACCAAACAACAACAACAACAAAAAACCTCGTCAAAACCCAGACATCAAGGCATCTTATAAGATTCAGAGCTTGCTGAGTAGATATTTAAATAGACAAGATAAGAAAAAATGCATCAGAATACAAGAACTAATAATTGGCGCTTGTCAGGATATGATAGAGCCAATTTTTTTCTTAAGAAAGAAGTACTCTCATAGCCTGTGGTTAATCTTTTAGTCTGTGCCATTATCCGCAGAGAAAAGTGTACTGTCATGCTTTAAAGCTGCACATCCCAGGTTCATGCTTATTTCCATTAAAAAATTTAAAACGTATTAAAAAGTAAAATATTATGAAGTGGACAAAGAAAAATTTTTTCTCATTGCAAACATCACTGGTAATCCATGTAAATAATCAAAAAGTGGTCAAAAAAGCAAAAATAGTGCTTACTGCTTAATAGTAATGCAGTAGGAATATAGCGATACTTATAATACTGCAAAATCAGTCCTTAATTGCATATGATGTATAAATTATTACTTGAATCTTAAATATTTTTACTTTTCTTAAAATCTTAGAACATTTTTCTCTGGTTTGATTTTCTCAAAATGTTTTTTTCGGAGGCATGCTGCTTTAATAAGAGGTTAATATATAGTCTCAAATAAAAAAGACGCATGCAATGTATAAATAATTACGGAAATATTTGCTATTGTTATTTATGAAATTAAAAATGGATGAGGAACCATTTTGTGCAGACGGCACTCTTACTGAATCAATAAAAATCTCTTTAAATGTCAGCAAATTAACTTAGATTTTAGTCATAGGGTTTCTTCAGGTCATATGAAGTTTATCTTAGAAAATCTATATTGTAAGCTGTATATACTAGTACATTGTTCTTTAGGAAATTATTAAAAGATCATAAAAGAGTCATAAATCTACAGTGTTATTACTATAGCAGTAAAAATATATATGAAATATATATATGAAAACAGTAGTTAAGTGATTCCAAGCATTTAATTTAATGTACAAAGTACATTTTTGCATGAAACATTGATTTTAATATATGTAATATATTTTGGCGAATTTGTTTGAGTGGAAAATACTCTAGACTGACATGAAACACAAATGCTAGGCTTGAGTATGTCCGAAATCCAAAATCTGTGAATAATTGATAAAGTTACTCAAATTTTTAAAATTGTACTTCAAAGGTCAAGGTCATTGGGGGTCAAGGTCATATTTTAATACTCGATATGAAATTGTCATCCTTAACAACATAGATATTCATGGCAAATGATAAAGATATATCTGGAATGATACATACAGACACAAAGACAGACACCCCACTGGTGTAATGATTAACATGAAAGCATTAAAGTGTCCCATTTTAGAATTGTAACTTGGTAAAAGAGGAATTTAACTGACTTATTTTATCATACAATTTTCATAATGATTTAAGAGTGATAAATTTAGTGACCTATTACCTTAGACTAGTACAGCTTAAGAAGGAAGTTTTTGTTTATAGGCGTATCAAAGAATAGGATAGTTTTTTTCTTCTTCTATTTTCAGCACTGTTTATAGATATTAACCCGTTTATTTATAATTATTTGCCAAACATAGTATCTTATGTAAGCTTCATTTGGATTACATACGGCATGCTTAGTGCCCAACCCCGTTACATTTCGGCACTATGTATTCCTCTTTTGACTACATCTGACAGACCAAGTGGGAGACTATGAGATTATAAAATTTTTTACTTTGGATTCTTACATGGAAGGAAGCTATCTAGCTAGCTTACAAAAAGGTTTAAGGTTCTACTCAGATGCATTTTTCAGCTTGTGCCAGAAATCATGCACGGAGGGGCACTTCAGGGCTTTCTCCACGTTTCATGCTGGAAAATCGCCATATTATGTATGGTCTATACAATGACCTGTCAGTGTGACTAAAAACCTGACCACAAAAAAAAAAAAATAAAAATAAAAACGCTTTGAAAAAAAAAGATAAAATTCACATTAAATAAGTTCATATTTCTGCTGTTTTTCTAATGTTTCTCTAAACATTGATGAAAAATGAGAATTTCTTACTACACTATACATATAAAGGTTCATTAAATAAACTAGTAGATAAGAACTTACATTGACCTGTAGTATTCATTATCTATAACTATATACATGTACCTAGCCAATTAGCATGCCAATTAACTTAAATTACCATTGTTAGATTAATTTAAAACCTTATCAACATGGCCTCTCATTTGGACAAGATTTAAACACTATAATCTGGCAATGATTTCATTTTTCTTGTCATTTTTCTGACGAAAGTGAAGATAATTTATTTTTCCATGCATTTGCAACTTCAATAACAATTTTGGTTATTATGAATCTTCCTGTAGTAATTATGTTCTGGACACAGTGATTATTTATGCACTTATAATTTTATGTGAACACGCATCTTGTTTTAGCAGATAATTATCATGCATGTATGTTCAAACACGGATGTTGTGTATTTAAGCACTAGTAGTGTATGTTCAAACACTCGTGTTGTGTATTCAGTAACCAGTCATGTATGTTCAAACACTCATGTTGTGTATTCAGACACACATCACAAATGTTCAGACACTCATGCTGTGTATTTAGACACTCATCATATATGTTCAAACACTCATGTTGCATATTCAGACACTCATCACAAAATTAATGTCCATACACTCATGCTGTGTATTCAGACATTTGTAGTGTATAATGTTCAAACACTCATGTTGTATATTCAGGCATTCATCACAAATGTCCAGACACTCATGCTGTGTATTCAGACATTTGTAGTGTATAATGTTCAAACACTCATGTTGTATATTCAGACACTCATCACAAATGTCCAGACACTCATGTTGTGTATTCAGATATTTGTAGTGTATAATGTTCAAACACTCATGTTGTATATTCAGACACTCATCACAAATGTCCAGACACTCATGCTGTGCATTCAGACACTCGTCATGTATGTTCAAACATTCATTTTTGGTATTCAGACACTCAATTCAGACACTAATTAAGCCTCATCATTTATATTCAGACACTTGTCTTATACTTTTAGATAGTTTTACCTTATAACTCCTTATATATTTACATTAACAGTGTAATCAATATCATTAAAAATATAAAAGATTTTTCCTTACATGTAATGAAACCCTTAAAAAGTTCAAATTATGATGACAAAACATTATGTACAATGAACATTACTACTATGTTTATTTACCGTTACCTTCAAACATTTTCTTGACATAATGTTACCTTAGTGCAGTAACGAGTTAACTACTTTTAAATTATATAAGGAGTTAATCCCTTACCGCACTAAGATGACAATATTTACTCCTGCGTACCAATATTTTCTTTTTGTACTATTATCCACATTAAAGGGACTCCACTGAGGGTTTTTGACATGATGGGACTGAGAATAATTTTTCCAGATAAATGTACCATTTGATGTAGGTTTAGACCACTGATCTTTGTGCAAAACAGATCATTCACGCACTTTGTTTTTCCAGAATAATTATTCAAATTGTCAAAAAATAACCCAAAATGAAAAGCGTTTAAACACGTTTCACTCAAATCAGGCTAAGAAAAGCATAAAAATACGATTTTGAATTGATTTCAAAGTAAATTTCTTAACTATCTTTGCATATATTTCTGTTTAAAGTGCCCCAGCTCATTTATGTAAGAAATTCAAATGATTATTTTTTTAGGCTTTTAAACAAACCCTTTAACTCCTGCATACCAGTATATTCTTTTTGTACAATTATCGACATTAACAAAATGTTTAAAGCTTTATATTTTTGCTTTAGGAACCTTAATTAATAAAGGTCTATGATTTGGTTACTAATATTGATTGTCTTTCCACTAATTCTCATACAGCAGTATGCATCTTTTTGTATGTAATAGTTCTAATATTATGATGTTTTCAATGCTTATTTTTCATTTCACTTTAGGGTGCAATAAACCATGAGACTTTTACGATGAAAATTCGAAGTATTGATAATGAAGATGAAGATATTGAAATTGTTGCAGCGGAGAAAAATGTCTCGCTAAGGTAACAATTGCTGACTTCTCGGTAATCGTCGGACATTATAGTTTAAACATACTAAAAACTGATTTTTGTTTGGATTACGATCGAAGCTCGAACCTTATTTTAGCAGTAAATGTTGACAATGCTGTGTCAATGAAACCAGTGTGTCATAAATTAAAAGGAAACATTGATTGTTGTTTTACTATCAAGCACCGAGAAATGTAGAGCAGGCTGTCCTACCATATAAACTTTTGACTAACTCAACAAAAATTCATAACTTTTTTTTAATCTTAATAGCTACTAAATATCTTATACATGTATGTTGTCTGTGTGAAAATTTAGACAAAACCATTCATCATTTTAAAGGAAATTTTTTCAAAATAACTCTGAACTGAATAGGGAACAGTGCAGACCATGATCAGATGGCATAGATGTGTCAGCTGATCTTGGTCTGCACTGGTTGCATGGGTAGAGTGTGTAGCAGCTATCAGGCTTTAAAGATTTCAACATATGCATGTTCAGCATTAGATTTGTCATAGAGCTCTGAAGTTTTGCTATTTCTATATTTTCATATTATTTTTTTTTTATATTTTTACTATCTAGATTTTTTTTCTTGTTTTGTAGAGAAGCCATTCAGCCGATACTTGAGAGACGTCGAATAAGTATCGGAGTTATCAACGTGTTTGTCGAGGCCTCTAATACACCTTTACCTCTGAACTGCGAGACATTCCTCCTGGGAGGAACTACCATGTACATCAAAGGTAAGTTGTCTGTAATGTATTGTAGTCTCCCCTGTTCAGGATTTAGCAACCAGCAATACCGCTCAATGGGCGGGACACCAAGGGACGGATATTCCGATCTGAACCGCAACATATGACAAATACTATTAACCTGGAACTTGCAAATCTAAGCTTTTCCGAGTTGAACTCCTGGTACAAACAAACTTTTACTGTTATAACTTCACAGTGCACTACTGATCACAATTGATGAGTCAACCTATTTAGGTTTTTTTCAAAGTTGTAACTGTTAAAGTTTATCTTTACCCAGGAATTAGCTGGAAAAAGCTAATACACTCTTAATTCAGGAAAAAGTTTATACGAGCCCCTCTCTGCCCCCTTGCCTGCCCATTGTACCAATGACTACTGCTTAACAAAGTAAGGACAGGTAACTCTTAAAGAGATAACATTTTGTACTTTAAAGAGTTACTCCCCCTTATAGAAGAGATATTACTGTATATATCAGTTTGGCTCAATTGATTTTGGTTGCTTTTCAGAAATTTGTTCATTAAGTTAGTAAAACACAGAATTGGTACAAATTGAGGATGTCACTTAAATAAACCCCCTAGAAAGAAAGAGTCCCGGAATATTGATACTCAGTAATTTCGTTCCATATTTAGCTGTCTACTTCCGTATATAGACTCGATCTGGAATATATTTGGCCCTCGGAGAAAGTTGCTAAATGCAAATGAATTTTTAATGAAGGCACGGTAGATACTTTCCTTATAATGTGTTAAAATCTGGTCTGTTTGAGTTTGGTTTATTGACTTACTTTGATAAGCCATTTAAACAAGTCTGAACAAATTCTGGGAAGTGCATTACAAGATAATGTGACTTACAGAAGGAAAACAAAAACATTTGTTTGTTGTTGTTTTTTTTGACCAAGGAAAAACAAAAAAGGATTTTAAAAGGAAAACTTTTAGGGTGAGCATATTTGAATTAATATTTTCATTAATATAAGAGAGAAATAATTTGTATATAGTTTCAGTTAGCTGGATTTTTTTAAAGATTTGTTTAAATTTCCACCAGTTTAAAGATCTCATAAAGTCAGGTCCGAGTTGTGTCCCCTTATTTTAATCACTTTCTATAATATTATGTAATCCCTTTATTAACCAGTATTATGAATAAGAAAACATGGTTGTGACCCAAGTGTGGCTGGCTTAAACCCACACATCCTGGGTTGAGAGGCATACATCATTGCCACCAGGTCACTGTTCCACTAATCCCAGGCAGCACTATATTAATATGAAACAATGAAGCACTAATTGTAAGCAATTCCACATTAAAATTATTGTTTATTTTAAAATAATTGTAAACAATGCCTTATTTAAAAGGAAGGCATTGTCATATGGATAATAAATTATTTGAATAATTATATATGAAAATCAACCATTGTTTAATTGTAACGCTAAACATGCTAAATTAAAGCAGGGAATACTAACTCTTGCCACACTACATTCCATAAATGGACTTGTCCCATCTTTCAATCTGGGCAAAACCATTCATTTTTTTGGGGAAAATTTCAAAATCCATACTGACTGAATAGCAAACAGTGCAGACAATGATCAGACTTCACGGATGTGCCAGCTGATCTTGGTCTGCACTAGTCACATGGGTAGAATCTGTTGCTGCCAATGGGCAGAATTAATTTTGCCACTGTGCAATTTAAGTTGGTTTTTTTTTTCATTGAAAAGATATTATATATCGGTGTATTCCAGTATCAATATCTTTTGCAGATTTTTTTTCAATAGCCGGAGATGTCTGACAGAAAATTTTACTATAAGTTGATTTGACTGCCGAGTAATTTGATTGAGCAGTTTTCTTTATTTGTCCACTAATACTGTCTGATAACATTATAGATTTGAGATTCTGGTAAATATTTCAATATCAGACTTGTTCATAAAATACAAGCTATTTTTAGCAAGTACAATATATTTCACCCTTTCCCCACTAAATGTCATAAAATAGACTTGTCTGTCTTTGAATCTGGACAAAACCATTCATCATTTTTAGGGAATATCAAATTCAAAATATAGACAGTGACAGACCACTCATGGCGCTTTATCCCGCTAAGTATTTATTGACAAGTAATATATGTACTAAGATCTCTATTTATGTTTATGATGCTGTCAGTTCATGGTATCTTCCTTTGTTAGTTAGCATAATGATTTAGGTGTCTGCCTCTAAGCCAAGGGATCAAACTTTGGTTCGAGCCTTATTGGGATCATGACCAGGATTCCTTGTTGTTTAGACCCCAGAGTAGGTCAGTTCAAGGAAGTCAGGTCTCAAAATATTCCATTGTTTTTGTCACATTTAGTTAAAGGGACTCCACTGAGGTATTTTTACATGACGTGACTGGAAATAATTTTTTTTCGAGAAAAATACTATTTTCGATGTAATAATTTCCTAGTATATTATTTACTTATCTTTTGCATATCTTTCAGATTTAAATGCCCCTAAAAATTAATGTTTTAGGATTTTGCACTTCAGTGGAGTTCCTTTAATTGAACGATATTTGAACAAAGTTTTTGATATTAATTTATTATGAAAATTATTATGTAGCATTCGAATAGGTCTAAGACTACCTTTACTTTTAGGCACTCTAACATTGTGTTGTCATTAAATACAAATGTCTAATATATTCAATATGAACTAGACCAGACAAACCTATGGGTGACAATTTCGCTACCACCATCATTGTACTATATTGAACTAATTCAATTAAGAAATTCAATTAACTCGCTAATTAAATCTTGTCGTTTATGAACCCCGGTCATAAAACAGTAGCTTGCAATATTGCATATTTGCGTTTTGTTCTTTTCTTTGATGGTAAATGGAATATGTTATGGTTCCGTTATTGTGCTGTTATTGTACAGTTATTACAATATGTGCATAGAAATATTTCTTAGGTGCTTAAGAATTCGTATTTTGGAATCATATAACTTATTTGTTGATGAGCACTTGGAAGATAATGGTTCAGATAATTATCAAAGTGGCAATGAATCTAAAGGTTTGAAAGTTATTCCATTCAGATTTGTACTTGTCCCTATTTCTTTCTTTCTTTCTTTCTTTCTTTCTTTCTTTCTTTCTTTCTTTCTTTCTTCTTTCTTTCTTTCTTTCTTTCTTTCTTTCTTTTTCTTTGCAATGTAATCACTTATAGTTAATATAATGCATGTATGTTAAGTGACTCAAAGTTAATGGAGTTGGAATAAGGCTGAGAATAAGGCTGTTGTTTGTGATATATCTACATGTAGATGAACTTTACATCTTTTTGTTGATGGGAATACCTTGATCTCAACTTTTGTGTCACATAAGCTGTCGCCAAGTGGTTTCAGTCACAAACTTTGTGCCTTTCACTTCAGTTTGTGAGAATACCAGCGAGACCTTTGAATGATTTCATCTGAAGAAGCTATCATTATTTAGCTAGCTCATGAAAAGTTTTCTTTACTATTATTCTTATAGAAATAGTATGAATAAATAGATTATAATGATATATTGTAATCATAATATTTTATAACCTGTTTGGTTTACATGAGGGTAGAGTCTGACTGTTTAGGTGCTGTGATAAATGATGGTTATTTAATATTAAGGCACTCAATATATTTTACAATCATATTTTACAGCTCCAGAATAGAATAGGCCATTGTCAAAAAAAAATGTTGGTTTCTGAACAAAATTTCAACCCAAAGTTTTATGCTTGAAGGGGCAAAGCTCTTCATTATCCTAACTAGCCTTTAATTGCCACCATTTTAGAGCCTGAGGCCAGTCTGCACATTCTTGCAGGTTGGCCAGACTATACTGTTGGCTTACCAACTTTCATCTTGATATCCCCAAAATTGATAATGGATAGTTGAAGCTGGACAAGTCCATTTGTGTAATTTAGCAAAATTTAAGGTGCTGGTTTGTCACTATTTCCAAGAATTCTGAGGGGGCTGCATGGCCAATCACTTGCCCCTCACCACTGTGGGTTCAAATCCTAGCAGGGACTTTGGATTCTGTCATATGAGGGAGCAATCCAGTTAGCTTATGGGACGTTGATGGTTTTACTCAGGTGCTCGTTTGTGCCTGAAATAATGCATGATGTTGCACCAATAACAGTTAAATACCAATAGTTAAAGGTGCTCCACTGGTGCCTTAAAACATAAAGTTTGAAATTGGTTCATAGATCACATGAAGCACGTAAAATGGAAAAATCTGAAAAGGATAATAAAGGAATATACTTGGAACTCATTTGAATATCAATATTTGTACAAATTTAAGTACGATTTAAATTTTTGGATCAATTTGCACAATACTAACGATTATTCTGGAAAAAATGGGGTGCGGGAAATGATCTGAAAATTTGCACACAAGTTATTTGTCCACACCTTCATCAAATGGTACACAAATCTCGTGGAAAATATTCCCAGCCCCATCATGTGGTAAAAAACCTCAGTGGACTTCCTTTAATATGTTTGAACAGTTTAAGCCATGAAAACCAAATACTTTTTAGAAGGCTCCCTAATAACAGCAGTATTCAGACTTTTTATAGCTGCAAACCATTTCCAAATCATCTCTGGTCAGGTAAGATGTTCAGCAGACATCTCTACTAAAACTGCTGCAGACAGCAAATTGGCATCAGGGGATATAAAATAATGTTATAAAACCAAGAAGGATGCTTATGATAATGACAGATTCGGTTTTTGAATGATGTAAATGTTTCTCATTGTTCCATTCCCTATCCATTCTCAGTAAACTTGATGTTGGAGCAAAATTGTCCTGAAAAATCAACAACCAGAAATAAACAATGAGCAATGTGTGTTGAAGACTGGTTCTTTGGTTCGACCTAACATATAATTATTCTGTAGTTGTTTTCACATATCTGTTCTTTATAGTGGGTTTTCATGTGTCTTTTTTGTGGACTTGTTTTTTCAGTTGTTTGTCAAATGGACATATGGTGTGTATGATTTTTCATGGATAAGCTTAATTGAATGAGTGTTTTTTTTTTTTAATTGGACACTAATTAACTATTATGGACTGGAATTCATTTCCTTTTGCCTATAATGTCAAACTGGCCTATAATATTTAAGACCAGTCAACATAGTGCTTTAAGTTGTACCAT